ACACCGCTGCAAACCAATTATAAGGGTCTTAGAGGTATGGGTAATAAATCAATATCCCACCTCTGCAAAACCAATTATGATAACTCAAAAGAGGCTTCTCTGGACAGGGGGTCAAACGAATCCCACCTCTGCCCTTCCTTCAATAAGGAATACACACCTCTTCGGCTATTCTAGTGTGTGAGGGGATGTCACGCTGTGTAAAACTTTCGCTGCCACCAAACTAAAGAAATCACGAACCCTCTAGCTATTTGCTTAAAATGTTAAAAAGCTTTTTACTCTACCATAAATACTGATGTATTAAAGAGGGCTTTCTCTGAGGGGAAAACAGGAGAGGTTGAGTAGAAAAGGAAAAGGATTCAAAACCAAAAATAGCACTTGACTCAGGCTTTAAGTTTAACAATAATCAAGAAAGAGTTTATTGATTACAAATTCAGAAATAACACGAGAATGCAGGTACTGAGGCTTGATGGTTACAGATAAAAGTGTTCTTGTTTCTTATAAGCGTATTGGTTTCTAGAGAGAATGTTCTTTCTTTTGTTACAGTTTCATTAAACACTAAACCCAGCTATTTTTCTCAAAAGTAGCTGTAATCTCAGTCTGCCACAGCCTACTGGTCTGTGCAGACTAAAGGCAAACTGCCTATTCTAAAACAGAGACTCCTAGTCAAATCTAAATCTTTCTCAGAACTCTCTCAGCACTGAACTAACTCAAAACTGTCAAAACTCACTGTTCTCTTTCCCTCCTTCTGCCTAACTCCGCCCCTATTCTCTAAACCAATCCTAGCTGTTGCTGGGCTGGCACAGGCCTCAGCCACTCCCCCTTCTGCACTGGAGATTTTCCCTACTCTAAAATGGCTCCAGCAGCACTCTGCCAGGCCTTTCCAAGCTAAACTACCTAGCCTGACTTAGCCTGGCCCTGCCACCCCGGCTGGCAAGGTAAGGGATCTTTACATTTAGCATACTTCCATCATGGTTCTCAGACCCCTTCTACACTGCCCTACAAGGGGTGTTCATTAAAGATTTCCCCTGACCCACTTCCTGTGGACTGAGAGCAATGAAACTTGGCACAGTTATTAGTCCTTCTCTACATAGGTGCCACCTAGGGACACACACTTCTCCCATCTTTTTAAGCAACTGTGGACACCACGCTTGTAGAAGTGAACAGGTTGCTCCAAATTCACGTTGTGACTTCGGAAATCAGAGTCTCATCATCTCAAAAATGCTTGCCCTTCAAAAATAACTAATTTTGTAAAGAGGTGAAAGTCCGATGGTACAAGGTCAGGGGGATGAGGGGGATACAGTAGAATTTCAAAGCCACAGGACATGCTTCCATTTGGGCAAGGTGCGAGTCATGAACTGGTGCATTGTCTTGCAGAAAGTGGACACCTTTGGTGAGCATGCCATGTCTCTTGGTTTTGATGGCCTGCCGCAATTTCTGCAGCAATGAAGCTTAGTATGCCCCAGTGATCATGGTACCCTTTGCTAGGAAATCCATCAATATTACTCCATGCTGGTCCCAAATTACTGTGAGCATAATTTTGCCTGCTGAGAGTTGGGCACATGGTTTCTTTGGAGGCAGTGAGTCATGATGCTTCCATTGCATCAACTGGACTTTAGTCTCAGGATCATAGTGATGGGCCCAGCTTTCATCTGTGTGATCAGTCTGTTGAAAAAGTCCTCCTGGTTTCCATGGCACATTGTCAATAGAGCCTGAGAGCATTCGACTCATTCCTGCTTCTGGAAAGGTGTGAGCAGCCGGTGGACCCAGTGAGCAGATACCTTATGCATGTGAAGATGGTCTTGGATGATTTTTTCCACAGACCCCACACAAATCTTGACATTTTGGTCTAGGTGGTGAATGGTTATGCAGTGATTTTTCAGAATGGCGACCTCCACTTGCTGGATGGTGTGTTCATCAATAGCAGAGTGAGGTCACCCTGGAATTGGAGCTGTTTGCACCAAAGTCTGGCCATATTTGAATTGACAATGATTCTATGATTCTATTATTCTATTATTCTATGACAATGTCCTTTACTATGTCATATGATGGGGAATTGTCCCCATAAAGCTCTTTCATCTCATTAAATGTCTCCTTTGGTGTGCGGCCTTTCAAGTAAAGGAACTTGGTGACTGCTCTGTATTCCTCTGGGTCCATTATCAAACCTCACACCACTTCAGCACCTGTACAGTCCAGACTATTATCAGTTCTGAGTTGTAAATTGGCATGTAACCTATTGAGACTTCCATCATTACACATATGCAGTTTCAGCATCCTGTGATAAATACAAGTGGGTCAGGGGAAATATTTAATGAACGCCCCTCGTATATCCGAAGATCTGATCCCAGATTATCTGATTTAAAATGGGTTATATGAGTCTCCACTGCCAGATAATCTGGGATAAGAAAATAATCTGGGATCAGATCCTGTGGAAGGGGGCTAAGTATTCCTTGCCACCATGTGTTTCTGGTGATGCTGGTTTTACTTTGATTCTGTTTTCTTCTGGCTTTCATTGCCCATTACATAGCCAAGGATGCTGTTTTAGAGATTCTCCAGACTTCCAGGCAATAAAGTACAATAAAGGAAAACTGCATGCTCTTGCCAAGACTTCATTCAAATTTAATTGTATTAATATCTCTTTCTAGATCTGGTGAAGAATCGTCTCTATTGGGTTGATGCTAAGCTCCATAAGCTTTCCAGTGTGGATTTGAATGGCCAAGATCGCAGAATTATATTGCATTCTCATGAGTTCCTTGCTCATCCTCTTGGTTTGACAATATTTGAGGTAAGGATTAAAACTCCCAGTTGGAAAGAGGGGGAGAGGGGTTGTTGTTCCTAGTGTTCTTCTTACTGTAGAACCGGATTTTAGAAAGCTATCCTTTAAAAATGTCCTAATTTCTTGAGTTATTGTAACAAAATTCGTTATTGGAAAAAGGGTATTGACAGTTAACTTGTTATTTACTAATTAAAATCTTTACTCTGATGGGTAGGCCTGACCAAACAACTGAATAGTTACAGCAGCTTGTTGAGACTTACTATCCTGATACGGCTGAATCCAATTTTAATCATTTGCTCCTTGGTATTTTGTTAGCATGTCCAAGAATAATGCTGCACTCTGAAATGATATTACCTTGATTCCTAGGATACTGTCTATTGGACCGATGGGGTAAATGAAGCAATATACACTGCAAATAAGTTCACAGGAGCGGATCTGGAGACAGTAGTAAATAACCTGTATGATGCTCGGGGCATCATTGTGTTTCATGAACTTGTACAACCATCAGGTAAGGGCTAGATGGCCATGTGAGTCAGAACCATCGTCAGATTGAATGATATAGTTGAGGGGAAGTATATTGTCTAAACTAAGGATGGTCAAATTTCATGTCTCTGGAGGCTTTTTTAAAACTAGAACCAGTAAAAATTGTTTAAAAATTGTTTTAAAATTAATTGTTTCTATTGATATGTTTTAATTCCATGTTTTAATGTTAAATGATGTCATGTTTTATGATTTAATTGATAATTGTATGTTATTATGTTATTATTGTTATGTTAGGTCTTAAACAATGTGTTTGTGTATTACTTAATACACAATTTTATTTTGCTAAAATATATCATGTGCGCAAGTAATTGTATTGCTGCTGTTTTAAAACAATTCAGAATAATTTAGAATCATAGGTTATATTGATAGTGTCATTCCACTGTTTTATAAAATTGTTGTCATTATCATGGAATGGAGAGTATTTTCCTCTCATCCTGTGCACCCTTGATCTGCTCCAAAGGACTAAAAAAAACTATTTCAAAAAAAAACTATTTCAAAAAAACTATTTTGGGGAGGGGGCACAATTAGCAAGGAGGAGAAGATCCCATTCTGCTACCAAACTTCCAGCAGCACAGTGTTGGATTTAAGACTGCATTCCTTGTAGATCTGTCTATCAGAACATCCAGCTTTCTGCTTACCACAAGCCTAAAGTCCCTAAAGAAACTAAACATCTGGAATCTTGCATTTTCCAGATTATTTAATTTGGCATCCTATTCTTGGGTGGTTGTAGGTTTTTTCGGGCTGTATGGCCATGTTCTAGAAGCATTCTCTCCTGACCTTTCGCCTGCATCTGTAGCAGGTATCCTCAGAGGTTGTGACCTCACAACCTCCAAGGATGCCTGCCACAGATGCAGGTGAAAAGTCAGGAGAGAATGCTTCTAAGAACATGGCCTTACAACCTGAAAAACCTACAACAACCCAGTGATTCCAACCATGAAAGCCTTCAACAATACATCCCTTTCTTGGTCTGTATAACCTTGCAGGTGGGTTACAGATGTTGGCAAGTGCCAAGGTGTCATTCAGGATCCTACAGTAGGTTGATGGAGGGAGGGGAGAGCCCCTTTTCTGGCCAACACATGTTGCTTTTTGCTGCTCCTAGGAAGATCTTCAAGAACAGATCTGAGCTAGGAGGTTAAGGAGGAAAAAACACTGGGGACATCCTTGGCAGCAATAACTTTGCCTGGCAAATGGACCATAGATTGTCTGTGACAGGCCAATTCCCAAGGCTAAGTTAACATGTTTCAAAATGTCTCCCTTCAGGCAACAACTGGTGCGAAGAAGACAACATGAAGAATGGAGGCTGTGAATATCTGTGCCTGCCTGCTCCCAAGATAAATGACCGTTCCCCAAAATATACTTGTGTCTGCCCAGATGGAGATACACTGCAAAATAACGGCTTGAGATGCAGAGGTACCACTTGTATGCTTTCTGATATACTGAAAAGCAAGCTCAAGATTCTATGCCTTGCCATCCCATGCAGAAACACATCTTGCTATGTTTGGGTGTTATCATTAAACAGCATTCTGATTGCCTGGCTTCTCCATATCCATGAACATCATATGCTTTAAGTGGACATACATGCAGGCCAAATATCGGTCTGATCTAATTACTAGCAGTATTTATCAATGAAATAAACCATAAAAGAATACTGCCCCTGCCATGAACTTGCTCATTCACATTTGATGAATGGCTACCTCTGCCTTATCTCCCCATTTGGAGAATAAAGTAATCTTAATCTAAATGGGACAGTCATCATTTTATATAAATAAAAATGTAATGTTCGCTTGTGGGATTAACATAACTCAAAAACCACTGGCCGAATTGACACCAAATTTGGACACACTACAGCTAACAGGCCAACGAGTGACCATCACTCATAAAAACACTGAAAAACACAACAGAAGTACTTAAAAGGCCAAAAAATAAAAAACACATTACAATGCATGCGCAAAACCACATATATACACATATGCATAAATATATACACACATATATACACGCACAAAACTGGGTCACAGCAATTAGTGTTGGGTACCCTATTAATCAGTGAATTTCTTTGTCCTAGACTCCAGCTCTTTCTTTTCAAAGTATATTTGACTCCCCTTTTTACTTAAAATACCAAATCTTAAGGAGCAAAGATAAGATTATCAGAGCCTGCATATTTTCCAACCATCTCAGAACTTATTTAATGGCATCCTTAACCTTAGACTGCAGCTTCATAGCACAGTAAATCAAACATCTTGGAAGCAAAAGCTAAGTAGACATGCATGTCCATGCTCATTTGCTGTGGGTGTTGCTACCTTCCACAAAGCAAGAACCCTGGTTCATCCAGAGCTTCAAAATGATTGATCTATAATTTCAGGTACAGGAACTGATGTGGCTAACACTGAGACAAAAGAGAGCAGCAGAGCAGAAAAACCACCTGGACCACTTTCTGGAGGTATTGGTCCTAAGGCCATGGCAGGGTACAATTTGTTGGTGTAGCTGGAATAAGTTAATATACGACTCAGGCTTCTGAAGCAGGGGTGGGTGTGGCTTTTCTTTCCCTAATTCAAGGAACAGTGGGCTAATTAGCATTTCATGTGATACCTGAATGTTCTTGAGTTCTAAAGCAACAATGAATAGTCAGGAGGAGGACTTCATATGGACCGCTAAGTGTGCCATAATGACATAGTATAACCGTTATTATTTATATTAGTTGTTTGAAGCAGTGATCATTCTCTTACACTTTTATTGCAATTAATACAAAATAAGAGCTTCAGCAAATAGTGGTTGAAAAGCTTGCATCAGAGTCCTGTGGGGAGATACGTCCTAACTTCCCGTTGACATGTAGTCATCACTCTATAGCAGTGGTTCTCAACCTGTGGGTCCCCAGGTGTTTTGGCCTACAACTCCCAGAAATCCCAGCCAGTTTACCAGCTGTTAGGATTTCTGGGAGTTGAAGGCCAAAACACCTGGGGACCCACAGATTGAGAACCACTGGTCTAGGCAAACACATTATGTTCCAATAATTTGTAAGCACCACCACAAAGAATGCCTGCTCCTTGGGCCCATGCGTTTGATTTCTGGTGTTATGGGGACATGGAGTAGAGCCTCAGAAGAATACCTACCTGATTGGGCAGTTTGTTATGATTGGAAGCAGTTTTTAAGATACTCAAGTCAAACCATTGGGGACTGGAAAGGTCAGGAAGTACTTTGAGCCCAGCAACAATTGGTAACCAGTGCAAATAATGCAAAAACTTCAGTAAGTCAAGAACAGAAACACCAGAAAGGTACTTAGCATATCTGAATATAATTCCCAGCACTGTACTGCCTTCAGTAGCAGTATCCTAGAGCTCATTGTAGCTATGACTCATTTCTCAAAAAAAAAAATGCTCCTGGCCTATAGTGAGTGTTTGTAGCCATCCAAGAATAAGGTGGACCTCAGAAGCACCCATTAAGCTGTAACTGTGACCCTTAATAAAAGCATAACCCTGCCATACAGGATGAACACTTCTCTGTTGATTTACCAGAATCCCCAGCTCATGTCCTGTCTCTGGATTACATTTTCGTCCCCTGACAATGTCAACTGTGTTGTGTACTCTTCATTTGGTAACTTGGTTTTACAAAGTTGCCCCATTCCTACTGTAAACTGTAAAGTTTCTATTCTGATTGTAGTACATGGCATTGCTTTACTAGTGTAATAATGGAACTGGCATACCGTAATACATTACAGTCTGTTTTGTAGGTGCTAGTGGGTTTGCTGCTTGGTTAGCTGATCTGCCGTCTGCTTCTGCCTTCTCTAGAGTATATATTATTTAGGCAAAACTGTACTCTGTATGTCACAGCCATTTAACATTTGCTCAGGGTGTACTTGGAAGTACATGGAAATTGTTTTTAAGTTATAATTTTTCTCCATAGGACAAAATCAGAGCAGCCTAGTGACAGAAGAGCTGTCTTATTCTCGAAGTTCTTCAGCAGCATGGGCCATTCTTCCTGTATGTAAGTATTTCCAGTGTGCCACCCTTTCGCTAGGGAAAATAGCACAATTAAACCTTTACTCAGAAGGCTGTTCATATATGCATGAGTTAATATTTTAGATGGATAAAAGGTGTCTTCTTTTTTTTAGTATTTTTGGCAATGGTGGCAGCAGGCAGCTATTTCATGTGGCGCAACTGGCAACACAAAAATATGAAAAGCATGAATTTTGACAATCCAGTATACTTGAAAACAACAGAAGAAGACCTTGCTATAGATATCGGAAGACACAGCAGTTCAGTGGGACATACATATCCAGCAGTAAGTGAACACTTCATGACTATGGGTAACTTCTAGCAAATGCCAGTAAAGCTCTACCTCTACCTCTATATCATGTCTAAAATTTTAGAAATATATAGGAAGCCATAGACTGGTTTTTATGCTTTACAGCAGGCTTTACAGCAGGCAGTATAATATGTTTCAGGATCTTCAGGGAACCTAGTGAAGTTTCAGATCCCAAAATACCTTCTGTACATTAACAATAACAGTACAGAAATGCCCACTAGTTTTTGTTTTGTTTTGTTGTGTGTGTGTGTGTGTGAGAGAGAGAGAGAGAGAGGAGCTACTTGAGAAACTGCAAGTTGCTTCTGGTGTGAGAGAATTCGCCGTCTGCAAAGACGTTGCCCAGGGGATACCTGGATGTTTTGATGTTTTTACCATCCTCGTGGGAGGCTTTTCTCATGTCCCCACATGGAGAGCTGAAGCTTGCAGAGGGAGCTCCTCCATGTTCTCCCAGGATTCGAACCTCTGACCTGTCGGTCTTCAGTCCTGCCGGCCTATTGTGCCACTAGTACAAAAGGCCTAGATCTGTTTGAGGTTAATTTTAGCAGCCACCATAAAAATATCTTAACCATAGTGGTTTGAGCTTTGAACTACAACTCTGAAGACCATAGTTCAATTTCCCTCTTGTCCATGATGGAAATCCCTGATCTTGGGGAGGCCACACATTCTCAGCCCCTATGACGCATTCACCTTAGGGTCACCATATGTCCAAAACAACTTGAAGACCCACAACAACAATAAGCAGCTATTTATTAGTAGGACCTTTCCTTTGTGGGTGAAAAAAGGGAAACTGAATAAATAGTTTGTATTAATGCTGGCAGACAAAATAAAAGGGAAAAACTGCAAGATTAATTGGTTTGGATTACATTGTCACTATGATGAATGTTTTTCTCTCTCTTCTAAACAGATATCAGTTGTAAGCACAGATGACGATCTATCTTGAGGACTCTAGCAAACCCCTTTTTAATCTACTTGTGTTCTATACTTTTTGGATGGTGGCCAGACCAGTGGCTGAACACTTTCCTTCCCATCCTGGAAGAATGAAGACACACGTGGAACAAGTTCACAAAAACATTTTCATACAAAGTTGTAAACATCTGCCTACAACAATTCAGCTTTTAATAGTTACCGGTTACCTGCAACCCTTTAATAAGTATTGCTACCACTGGCCATGTATAAAGCACTTTCCAAAAAGCCATATTGAGGTAATAAGTGCTACACAAGTACTACCTGTAAATAATTGTACAGGCCCAATTGTAAATCTTCCTGAACATAGTCTATTAAGCACTTTGGAAAAAAACATTTCAATGTAAATTACTGTATAATCTTTTTTTTTTCAATGGTTGGGCAATGGCAATAGGAGAAAACGGGTTACTCAGATTAATTGCCAAAAATTTGTAAAACTTTAACTTTTGTATGAATTGTGAATTTGTCCTCCATGAACCACCTACAGGGGTGTGCAGAGGACAACTGCTCTGTATCAGAAACCACTGTACATTTCAACACTGAAATTAAATTAAATAGAAGCAAATCTATGGATATGATTGACTCTCTGTAAGATTATACTGACATACTTGAACATTACTATGACTGTCAGGAAACATTTACCTTGTTCCCAATGTCATGGCAACAGTGTCTGGAGCATCCTGAGTACAGGTTTTGCACTTATTATATAGCCTAGATAGATAGATAGAGATAAAGGTTTTCCCCTGGCATTAAGTCCAATTGTGTCCAACTCAGGAGGTTGGTGCTCATCTCCATTTCAAAGCCAAAGAGCCGGCATTGTCCATAGACACTTCCAGGATCATGTGGCCAGCATGACTGCATGGAGCGCCTTTACCTTCCCACTGGAGCAGTACCTATTGATCTACTCACATTTGCATGTTTTCGAACTGCTAGGTCGGCAGGAGCTGGGGCTAACCAGGGGCTCCAGATAGTTACGAGGGTTGAATGAAAAGTAATGCCTCCACCTTCCTAACTCCTCAACAGATGGCAGTACTGATATGCGGCAGGTACTGGCTTGTTCAGTAGACTCTCCTCTACAGTTCCATTTGGAAGGCAGTCTTAGCATTGAACAGTTGTGTTGTTAAAGTGTGAAATATTGAACCCTGCGATGACGGTCGGTCAATGCAACTTAAGCAACGTGCAGTCATTGAATTCTTAACAGCAGAAGGTGTCACCCCAAAAGAAATTCATCAGAGAATGCAAGCTGTTTATGGTGATTGTGTTGATGTGAGTACTGTGTGTCACTGGGCAAATAAGTTTAAAGATGTTGAGATGGGAACATCTGACTTGTGTGACAAACAAAGAGGTGGACATCCTGTAACAGCAACCACCGAGTTTCACAAGCAAAAGGTTGACAGATTGATTCAGGAGGATCGTCATATCGCTCAGAGAAATTTCAAGCATAATCGGCATTTCACAAGAACATGTGGGTCACATTATTGCTTTGCTTGGCTATCGGAAGATCTGTGCATGATGGGTACCCAGGATACTGACGCCTAAAATGAAAGCGCACAGACTTCTTCCATGACGGCTTCAGAAAACTTGTTCATCATTGGCAGAAATGTATCCAATTGCCTGGTGATAATGTGGAAAAGTGAATAGTGGTAGTTAAAGATTATTTCTAAGTTTGATTTATTAAAATATTCCCATCCAAACCCAAGTAACAAAGGTGGAAGCATTACTTTTCATTCAACCCAGGTAGGTAGGTAGGTAGGTAGGTAGATGATAGATAGATAGATAGATAGATAGATAGATAGATAGATAGATAGATAGATAGATAGATGTCTATCTGTATCTGTATCTGTATCTCCATCTGGCTTTTTGTACAATGTAGTAACAAATAGAAAAAACTTTATATTAAATAATTCATATGTCAGGAATAGACAAACCTGTATCTAGCAGAAGTAGTGATCTTCAAGCAACTGGAGTCTGCTTTGTGGTGGAACCCATATGAGAACATTGTATATTACAAATCATAAGAATTGGCTTAGTCCATGTCTATCAGTATAATGTGGGAAGCAGAGCCATATGTCAAGCTCTAACCTATTACTTCCAAGTTTTCCATCCACACTGCAGCTGTGGCTTCTGATTTCAGCACTGCAGGAAAAAGGAGAGCTATCACAGGCTTGACTTCGGTTGGTGTGAGTGGTCTCTCCTCCAACGCAAACAGCAACTGTTCTTGTGTCAGGGTTTTTTGTTTTGTTTTTTCAAAATTATTGTGAGCAATCACTTATCTGGTGGCTGACATTTTGATTATTAGCCCCTCTGCCCTTTGCTAGCCTAATACTTGAATGGTAAACAGTTGATGGGCTGTACTTTATGCTTTACCAGCTTGGTAGAATTTATCAACTTTGTGCTTTTGTCTGGTATAGCTTTTGAGAGTCCATGATACTGTCCTGCCTTGATAAGGCAGCAGGGCAGGGCTTTGCTGCTTCACTGGTTCTCAACCATTGGAGTTGTCTCTCCGAGATCTGATTTCTTTAGACTGGACTTGGAATTCTAGATGATGTTGGCCTGCAACTCCAGTAGTCCTAATGAGCACAGACAGTTGGGAGATCTGCAGTCTAATGATATCTGGCGGACAACACAATTGCTTGCATTAGAAAATGAACATGCTGACTTGGGGTGATGTGACCTATTCTCAATGAGAGGATATCAGGTTGACTCACAGGTCGTCTTCTTAAAACTCTTAACTGTCGTCAAATCTACTTCAACTTAATGGTGATTCTATGAAGGAGAGACATCCAAATCCTATCAACAGCCCTACTCAGGTCTTGCAGGATCAGGACTATGACTTCCTTGAGTTTATTCATCTGGAGTGTGATTTTTTTCCTTTCCTGCTGACCTTCTCAAGCATTATTGTCTTTTCTATGCTATGCCTTCTTGTGACTCACTAGAAAATATATGAGTTCAGTCATCTTGGCTTTTAGGGATGGTTCTGGCTTGATTTCATATAGGAACCATTTATTTGTCTTTTTAGCAGTCCATTGTGTTTTCCCAGCACCACATTTCAAAGGACTTGATTTTCTACCTGTCAGCAATCCCAACTAAACATAAAAACTGGATATACAGTGACATGGACAAATCTAAAGTTGGTATTCAATGATACATCTTTATACTTCAGAGTATTTTCTAATTCTTTCACAGCTACCGTTCCAAATCCTAACCTTCTTCTGATTTTTAAACTGCATTTGCAATTCAGATTAATTTCAATGCAAAACATGGAAAATGGTGAAATCTTTCAGTGTTTTCATTGTCTACTTTAAAGTTATGTATTTTGGGTTACTTAAACGTTCAACTGTGAACCTGCCTTTGTGTTTTCTTCCTTGACTTTCTACACTGCAGTAGTTCTCAAGTATGGGTCCCCAGGTGTTTTGGCCTACAACTCACAAAAATCCCAGCCAGTTTATCAGTATGTTAGGATTTTGGGGAGTTGAAGGCCAAAACATCTGGGGAGCCACAGGTTGAGAACCACTGTTCAGTAATTCTTCCAAGTCTTTGTTATTTTCAGTCAGTAGCATGGCGTCATCTGCATATCCTAAAGTGTTGGTGTTCCTCCAGTTTTCATACCTCATTCCTCCAAATCTAATCCTGATTTAATTATGATGTGTTCAGTACACAGATTCAACAAATCAGGTGATAAAATCCAGCATTGCATTTTGATTTTTTTACGTATAAAAGCTATATTTCTATATAGGCAGAGAGTCCTCTGAGTATATCAAAGCTACAGACTTTTTAAGGGTGACTTATTTAATTTCCATTAAATAATTCATGTGGTATTGGCCAGCACATGAGAAGATTATATAAAGTCTTGTTTTCTTAGAGCATCATGCTTACAATGCAGACAATAGAATTATAGCACTATTATTCCATTGATTATTCCACTGATTTAGAATTTTTACCCAGAGTGCCCAGTGCCTCTCCAAACTACAAATCCCAGGATTCATTGGAATGGGACCCTATGAGTTAAAGTTGGAACAACAGTGCTAGAATTCTGTACTGTAAATGGGCTCAAGGTGAGACATGGCAGTCACTTCTGCTGCTGCCTGGAATAGCTACCACTTTTTACATGGTCTTCAATGACAGGTTGAGAACAGAGGTAAATTATATCCTTTATGTTTGCTCACTTTGTAACTCAAACTGTTAACAAAGCCCTATTTAAAAACTGAATGTTTTGAGTTGACGGCTGTATTAACGTGTTTTTTTTTTTCTAATTATAACTAGGCTTTCGGCTGCAATAATTCAGGCTGGTATTTTAAGAGGAATAACATGAGATGACATTTAGCTGGAGTTCAACCTAAACTGACATCTGGTTCATGTGCTATTTGAAATAATGCTTATGGTGTTCTTGCCCTGATTGTTTTCTGGTGGTAATCCAGGGTGCCTTTCCACTGAGCATTGCAAGAATGGTCTAACAATCAGAGCAAGTAACACAATTGCATGCTTTGCACAGGGGAAGGCCTGACTTTGAACAGCAAAATGAAATCCTCCCACCCTTTGTTTGTGGTGCTCTTCATGCAGCTCTTAATGGAGCTCTGGTACCAGAATTGACTGCAGCTGAATGTAGGAAAAAACAATGAGCGGTAAGAAGGGGTGGTTGCAATAGGGATTCATTAGCTCTTATTCACATGTTCCTTTTGTGGTTGGAATTATTTCTTTTCATAAATGAGATACCTTACCTGGTCCACACAGGCAAAAAATATGTATTCATCTCCTACCTCGTGCTGTCAGAACACACAATGTTCATGGGGATATGAATACACAGAGCACATGACATGAGGATTTGAAGTGAATATGCTTCTTTTCAATGCCTGAGGTCTTGGATCCAAATGTCAAAAATGCATCTTTTACTTTGCACTTTCCTGGGGAAAAATGGTTATACATCTGCCTCATGCTCTCAGTCAGGATTGCAGAGTGGGGACAGGTTAGTGGACAGAACATGTTGTTCGGAGGCTACCTGGACCAGGTGGTCCCCTGAGCATCCCCGCCACAAAAGGCTTCTTCCTTTGTTTCTTTTACCACCTGGCTGGAGTGCTGCCACCATTATTTTTTTAAAATGTACCTGTGTGCAGAAGCACTCTTGGTGAACCATTGCACGTTTGCCATTTTGAGCCATGGGTGAGAGGTCAGGAGAGGGATGTGAGTAGGAGGAGTTTTAAACCAAGCCAGACAGACATGGATAAACCCATCAGTGATGTACATATCTGGCCTCATAAAGAATGGTCATGATCCTTAGAGTTCCCAATGCTGGTCCCCTAACTCCCCACAAAGTGTTGTCAAAAATGTCTATCTCACGCAGTTGCTCTTGCTTCTTTTGTCTGTAAAAGGGCAAGTCCAACCACCCATATGTCAAAATAGATATTTGCAGAAAAGCAAACATAAGAGAGCAGCCATTGATATAGTAATAGGTAGAGAAAGGTACAGGGTAGGGAGACAGACCTGTCAATCGACTAGGATATGGCGAATTGGAACCTAATTATTTTGTAACTAAGTAAAAACCCCTGAACCAATAAGGTTTAGGTAAAGGTAAAGGT